CAGATCACATGTTTCAAATGGAGGCATGATATGGTGATGATGAAACATCACTTAAGTAATCCAGACATAATTTAATTGTCCTAATGATAATTTAATCCTTCAAAAGAAGCAACAGGGGGAATTTCTATTCTGAACCTGTTTTTCACCACCAGTGGAGAACTGGTAGCTAAAATAAAAATGATGAGAATATTGGCAGGGAAAGGTTATTTCATCAGAAGTCAAGATAAAGAGGAAAACACTAATCATAGTCTGACACGAAGAGATTTCAACAGGTTCAGGAAAAGGATAGGGAGGTTCCCACAGAACAAAATTCTACGCTAACATTAGCAAGGCAGGGATAGGAGGCGCTCAAGAATGTCATTTTCAAGAAACAAAAATAAATAATTCTGACAACTCTGATAAGGAAAAGCGTTCTCCAAAGAGGCCCATACTGAGGCATGGGCAAAATGATTGGCCAATCTTAAAAACACACTAATAGAAGATAGAAGCAAGAACAGGAGATGAAGACTGAATTTGGAGGCATGGCATGATCCTGAAAGAATGTCAAGACCATTTAAGTTCAGAAGGAGTTGAGGTTGTTAATACATGCTAATGAAAATGGAAATTTTCATTAGCATTGATAAACATAAATGGCACATAGCAGGGGCTTAATAAATCTTGTTGACTGAATAGCTGATTGACCTTTAAAAGTCTGTGGAAGGGCAGCTAGGTGGCACAGTGTATAGAGCAGCGGCCCTGGAGTCAGGAGGACCTGAGCTCAAATCTGGCCTCAGACCCTTGACACTTTCTACCTGTGTGACCCTAGGCAAGTCACTTAACCCCATTGCCTAGCCAAAAAAAAAAAAAGTCTGTGGAGAATAAGAGTGGTGCCACAGGATTGGAAAGGGCAATTATTATCCTAATTTTTTTTTTCAAATGGAAGGATGGAGTCTGAAAACTCTAGGTCAGTGAGGTTGAATCTGATTCCTTGGGAAATTCTGGAATATATTAAAGGGATGGTTTGTGACCACAGTGGTTCCAAAGAAGCAGAATGACATCATCAAAAATAGGCTGTGCTAGACTAACTGAATTTCCTCTTTTTGACACAATTGTAAGATTGGAAAATCAATGAAATGCCAAAGATATTATTTGTCTAGATTTCAGAAAGATATTTAACAAAATCTCTCATATTATTCCAGTGAGTGTGAATGACTGATCCCAAAGAGTAGGCATTAATGATTCAAGTCAGTTTAGGGAAGGGTCTTTGCTGGAGTGCCCCAGGGCCTAGATGAAGGTATAATCATTATACCTTTCAAATTTACAAATCTTACGAACAGGAAAAAAATTGGTAACACACTGGATATCAGAATCCAAAAGGTTCTCAGCAGACTATCAGGGTGCATTAAATCTAAGAAGATGAAATTTAATAATGTAAAATTTTACATGTGGGTTCGGAAATCTTCACAAATACAAGATGGGGAAAGGCATGACTAGACAGCAATTCACCTCCAAAAGACCTTGGGTTTTTAGTGGACTACAAGCTCCATAGGAATTGACTATATGATATAGCAGTCAAAAATATTAATGCAATTTTGGACTGTGCTAAGAGAGTCAGTACTAAGGAAGTAATCATCCTGCCCTGATCAGGGCTCATCACATATACCTCCTACACCGTAGGAAGAACATTGGTAGAGAGTGGTGAAATGACCAGGACCTTTAACATCATGTCATATGAGTATGGAAATCACTGGGATTTTAGGCCTGAAACAGAGGAGAGTCAGTGGGAATATGACAGCTGACTTTAAGTATTTGAAGGCTTATCATATGGTAGCCAGATTGAACTTGTTCTTAATGTTTCCAGATAAAGGGGATGGAAATGCATGTTGTACTCATTTTGGTTCCACAGAAGGAAACACTTCCTAACCATTGGCTCTATCCAAAAGTGGAATGGGATGCATTCTCACTAAAGGTCTCCATCCAAGCCCAGGCTGAATGGCTACTTATCTGGTGGGTGGTAAGTGAATATTCGTTTTGGACTAGATGGACTCAGAGAGCTCTTTCAGTTCTAAAATTCTGTGATGCCATTTCAAACTTTATTTTGCATTACCTTCCACACATGGTATATGTTCTGTACGAACTGGACTAACAGCTGTTTTCTGTATTCTACTTTCTTTCTCTCACCTCCATATAATAGCTTGAGTAATTCCTAGGGCCTGGAATATGCTCTCTCCTCATCTCTGCCTTTCTAGAATTCTAATCTTTCTTCAGTGTTCAGCTCAAGTGCCATCCTTCCTTGAAGACTTCCTTCATCTTACATTAACCCCACTCCTTTCTCTTGAACTTAGGAGACTACTATCAGGACTGGAAATGTTTGTTTCTCAGTATTTTGTTGCTGTTGTTGTTGATGATGATGATGGTGACGATGACGATGACGATGATGATGAAGTTGGCTCAGAGGACAAAAAAAACAACAAACAAAAAAGTCAGCCAGGTACCTGAGGACCAGTCTTGGGCTCACCTAGGCAAGCACATGTTCTCCCCACCATGAGCTTAAGTTATAAGTCACCATCACCACTGGGAGATGAGGATAAGGGGGAAGGGAAGGAAATACTATGTCCCACTCCACTAGAAATCCAATTGAGATGGCAGTTGCAAAACCTCTTCATCAGACTTGGAAAGAAGAACTTTCTTCTTTTTTTTAATTTAAACTACTTTTTTTCAATGAACAAAAATCCATTTTCTTTCCCTCTCATCTCTCCCCCTATTAAAAAAAACACCTTGTAATGAATATTCAGAGTCAAGCAAAACAAATGCCCATATTGTTCTTGTCTAAAAATATATGTCTCATTCTGCTCCTAAGGCATCACTTCTGTCTCTCAGGAGGTGGAAAGCAGGCTTCATCATTTGGTCTTCTGGAACTGTAGTTGGTCATTGCATCGATCAAAATTCTAAAGTTTTTCAGAGTTGTTTGTCTTTACAATGTTATCATAGAAATCATTCTCTTGGGTCTGCTCATTTTATTCTGCATCAGTTCACACAAGTATTCCTATGTTTTTCTGAAAATTGTCCCTTTCATGGTACAATATCAATAACTAATAATAGCTAGCATTTATAGGCTCTAAAAATATGATGTCATTTGATCCTCACAACAACCTTGGGAGGTAGGTGCTATTATCCACGTTTTACAGATGGAGAAACTGAGACGAACAGAGGTCAAGTGATTTGCCAGGGTCACAAGCCAGTAAGTGTTTGAGCTCAGATTTGAACTCAAGTCTTCCTTACTCCAGGTCCAGGGCTCTATCTGTTATGCCATACTATTCCATTACACTCATATACCATAATTTGTTCAGCCATTCTTCAATTGATGGACATTCTCATAGTTTCTAGTTCTTTCACACTATAAAAAAAAACTGCTATAAAATATTTTTGCACATATAGACCTTTTCCTTCTTTCTTTGGGAATTGAGGCCTAGTAGTGGTATCAATGGTTAAAGGGTATGCACATTTTAATAGCTCTTGAGACATAGTTCCTCATTGCTTTGCAGAACAATTGGACTAACATACAGCTTGATCAGCGGGGCATTAATACACTCCTGAAACCCTTCCAGCATTTGTCATTTTTCTTTTTGGTCCTCTTCACTAGCTACGTGATTCTAGGCAGGTCACTTCACCTCCGTCTGCCTCAATGCAGAGTACAGCAGGCTGGCTGGATGAATCAAAAGCCAGAATTAAGGTCGCAGGGGGAAATATCAACAATCTCAGATATGCAGATGTTACCACATCAATGGCAGAAAGTGAAGAGGAATTAAGAAGCCTCTTACTGAGGGTGAAAGAGGAAAGTGTGAAAGCTGGCTTGAAGCTTAACATAAAAATAAAAAAATTAAAAACTAAGGTCTTGGCAACTGGTCCCATCACTTCCCAGCAAATAGAGGGAGAAGAAATGGAAGCAGTGTCAGATTTCATATTCTTGGGCTCAAAGATCACTGCAGATAACTGCTATGCCATGAAATGAAAAGACATTAGCTCTTTGGAAGCAAAGGTATGGCAAATCTGGACAGCATGCTAAAAAGCAGAGACATCACCTTGCCTACAAAGGTCTGTATAGTCAAAGCTATGGCTTTTCCAGTAACAATGTATGGCTGTGAGAGTTGGACTATAAGGAAAGCTGAGCACTGCAGAATCGATGCTTTTGAATTGCGGTGCTAGAGAAGACTTTTGAGAGTCCCCTGGGCAGCAAGGAGGTCAGATCAGTCAATACTTAAAGACACTAATTCAGGCTATTCTCTGAAAGGTCAAATACTGAAGCTGAAGCTTAACTCTTTGGCCATATAATGAGAGGACGGGACTCATTGGAACTCTGATGTTGAGAAAGATAGAAGGCAAAAGGAAAAGGGGATGGCAGAGGATGAGATGGATAGATAGCGTCATGGAAGCAATGAGTACGAACTTGGACAAACTTGGAGAGATGGTGGGGGATAGAAGGACCTGGAGTGCTATTAGGGTTCACGGGGTCACGAAGAGTTGGACACGACTGAACAACAACAACAACAACGGGAATAATAATAGCATCTACCTCCCCGGGTTGTTGTGAGCATCAAATAAGATGCTACGCATTTGTAAAGCGCTTAGCGCAGCGCCTGGCAAGGTTCTCATCTTCATTAACTGTAAAATGGGGCTAATCCTAGACCTTTCTTACAGACTGGGGAGGACGTTATCATCATCATCATTATTATTATTATAGCCTATACCTGCCTCAGTTTCTGCCCTAAGCCGCATATCATCTAATAAGCTCCCTACAAAGAGTGACAGGGAAAAACTCATCTGCTACGAGCCGCGGTTAGGGCCAGCTTGAGGAAAAAGCGTTTGCTTTCTCCCCCTCCGCCAGACCCTCCGGCTTCAGCAGAGCAGAGAAAGCGCGGACGGGGGCGGGGCGAAGGAGGTGCTCCCGTCCTCCGATTGGTCAAGGGTGAGCGGAAAGGGGCGGTGCGGGGGCGGCGCGCGCTCTCTGAGGCGCGGTCGTGTGGAGCTCTAACGGCCGTTGGAGGAGAGAACGCGGCGGCTCTGGGCAGGGTCTCTCTCTGCTACTGGAGCCACTCTCTTCCGGACTCTAGGTGAGTAGCCTTCCTCAGAGGGGGTGTCTCCCCCAGAACTGACTCCTTCAAGCCCCCTTCACGTCCTTGGCGGGGCCATGGGTCCCTCGGAACCCCCAAGAGCAAGGGGAGAGGGAAGACAGGGCGCATGCGCAGAGCCAGGAACGCCACCAAATGTTTCTACCCTTTGCGTGGCACGGTCCCCCTCCCCACCCAAATTCCGAGCTCTGCCAGCCTCCTTACCAGACGGTGTTATGGCTTATCATAGACTGCCAGAGCTTAAGAACCACCTGACTTCAACCCCTCCCTTTTTTCAAGTAGAGAAACTGAGGCCCAGAGAGGTGCCAAGTCACAGTGAGTTAGGGATACTGGACCTCCACGCCTCCTTCCTTCCCGCTTGCCCCCCACCCCCACCACAGTGCTCTGCCTTTCTCTTTCTCTCTCCCCTCCTCCCCCTCACATTCAGTTCAATATAATCCAGGTTGATCAACTACTGGATGGGAGGGCCGGTGCTTGGTGATGGGGATGCCAAGATAGAAAAGGACACTGCCCCTGCCCTCAAGTCGGCTTCATCGGGTTGAATTTTCGTTGCCCTCCTTCCCCCTCCTCTTTTCTCTTTCCTCATCTCTCCTGGTCCCCCTTTTCTCCCTTCCAGTTGGAATACCCTGCTGTTTTCCCTTGCCCTTTTTAGTCTTGCGTGTGCATTCCCAGCTTCCTTTCCATTCCTCTCTTTCGCAAAAGGATCCATTTACATTTCTGTTTTCCGAAGTCTTGGACGCTAATTCATTCACTAAATATTGATTAAGGACCAGTTGTGGGGAGGTTCCTTGCTAGATGCTAGGAGTGGAAGATAAACAATACACAATCGCTGACATTCTAGGAGAAGAGGAAATTTGACATGTACAGAGATACATATAGTACAGGGTAAAGGAGGTGATGGGGCAAAGGAGAGGTACAGACAAAATATTGTTCTAGAAAAATTTGAGGAAAATTTGAAGAAAATGCTTAAGTGAGGGATGGATCAGAAATCCTTCCCCTTATTGCTTATACTGGTTTTGCATAGCTCTGAACTTATTTTGGGGAAAGGTAATGTTTGGGGATAGCTATGGGGGTGGTTTATGAATAGTCAAGATGATGAAAATGGTGTGATAGTGTGAAATTCCTTCTGCTACTGTGTCAGCTGCTTATGTCTCCCTCTAAAGCCTCTTCTGTCTGCAGTGCCATTCTTTTAGCAGCTGCAGAGGGTGATATTACACAAAGATCACTACTCTTTGAAGGGGAGGGGTAGCAATTAAAGTCCAGGACTTGGTTTTGGTAGATAAGGAATTAGCACTAGCCTCAGAACCACAGATCCATTTTCCCTAAGACTTTTATTTTCTAATAGATTCCTCACATCTATTTGGAGCATGAAGGGAAGGACTCAGGGTAATAACTGCCACTATTTCCTCTGATCTTCTTGTGCTTATAGAATAGTAGAGTTGGAGGGAACCTGACAAGTAATCAAATTTTTATTTGAGTTCTAAGTCGAAAGTCAGAATGGTTTAGAATTCTGACTCTTAGATGTCCTAGTTATGTGATCACAAGCAAATTACAACCTTTTTCAGTTTCCTCATCTGTAAAATGAGAATAGTAATCTTTATACTACTTATTTCAAGTCCAGTCAGTAATCATTAAATTAATCACCTGCTGTGTGCCAGGTGTTAAGTGCTTGTGTTAGAAAAACCAGACTGTGCTTTCAAGGAGCTCTTGACCAAACTGGGGAGAAAACGTGTAAACAACTATGTATAAATGAGATCTAGAGAGGATAAATTGATGGCAATCTTACATGGAAGGCACTAGCAATAAGGAGGTTTGGGAAAGGCTTCTTGTAGAAGATGGGATTTGAGCTGGGACCTGAAAGAAATCAGGGAAGCCTGGTAGAGTTGAGGAGGGAGAGATTACAGATATGGAGACAACCAGTGAAAAAGTATGGAGACATGGAGGCCTTGTGTGAGGAATAGCTAGGAGGCCAGTGTCACTGGATCACGGATATGTGGAGGGGAGTTAGATGTAAGAGGACTGGAAAGGTAGGAAGAGGCCAGGTTATAAAAGTCCTTAAAAGCCAATCAGGATTTTAAAACTGATACTGGAGGTTCTAGGGAGTTACGGGAGTTGATTGAATGGGAGAGAGTATATGACATCGTCTGATCTGTACTTTAGAAAAATCAATTTGATCTTTGTAAAGTTAGGCAGTTAGTTAACATTAAGAAGATCAGCTGAGTGGAGGATGGGCTGGAATGGGGAAAGACAACGTAGGAAGACCATTCAGCAGCTTTTGGAATGGTCTAGGTCTGAGATGATGGAATGATCTAGTCCTGAGATGATGAAGGCCTGTACCAGGTGGTGACTGTATCATAGTGGAGAAGGGAGGTGTATTTGAGAGATTTATAAAAGTAGACTTGACAGCACTTGGAAGCAGATTAGAAATGGGAAGTTTTGAGAGATTGTGGAATCAAGCAAGACATTAGATTTCAGTCATCCAGACTGAGAGGATAGTACTGCCCAAAATAGTATTAGGAAAGTTAGGAAGAGGAAAGAGTTTGGAGGAGAAAGATAATGAGTTTGGTTTTGGACATGTTAAACTTATTTCTCAGAGTTGTTGTAGAGAATGTGCTTTGTAAATTCTAAAGTACTTATAAACATGAGTTATTATCACCTGGTTCTACAACTCTCTTAACCTCATAAGGAAGGAAAGTCCTTTTTATCTTTGACCCTCTGAGAAGAGGTTGAATTAAAGAAAATAATTTTAGTAAATAATCAAGAGGAAAAGCAACATCGAACAAACTTGGTGCAAAGCTCAAATATTGTTTGCAAAGCCACAGAATTAAGTGTTTCTCAGGATCCTACATCACCTCATCTATACCTATTTTCCCTGGGTTGGCCCAGGCTCCCTTGCCCTTAAATGAATTAGAAAGCACTTATTATGCATCTGCTATGTGCAAAGCACTGCCAGACATTGTTCTAAACACTACAGATACAAAAGCAAAGTCAGGCCCTGATTTTAAGGGGATTGATGAATCTATAGAAATGCTCCAGGAGTGGCTGCCACTGAATAGAACATCCTTGCCCCCTAAGTCCTAACAAGAGAAGGGGCCTTTAATCTGGGAGGAGCTTCCTACTCTAACTGTAGCCTGATTTATTCTGTGTGGGATTCTGCAGACATTCTGGGACTTTCAGACCTGATATTTAAGCCTGTGGAAAATCTTCTATCTGTTGTAATGAAATTTAAGAAAGAATCAACTAATAACTTTTTAAGTGTGTACCATGTGCTAGGCACTGGGGACACAGGTACGAAGAATGAAATAATCCCTATTCATGTGACCTTACATTCTAATGAGGGAGACAATACATAGAAAAAACACGATGTAAGTAAAGCTAATAAACACATACATGTGTACACGTACAGTCAATAAACATTAAGTGCCTGTTATGTGCCAGGCACTGTGCTAAGTGCTAGGGATACAAAAAGAGGCAAAAAAAACCAGTCCCTGTCCTCAAGGATCTTACAGTCTAAAAGAGGAGACAACGTGGAAATAAAAAAAAGTTATACACAGGATAAAAAAATAATTAGCAGAAGGGAGGCACCAGATTTAAGAGGGTTTAGAAAATACTTCTTGTAGAAGATGAGGTTTTAAAATGATTCTGAGGTACCACATCACACCTATCAGATTGGCCAACATGACAAAACAGGAAAATTTTAAATGTTGGAAAAAATGTGGGAAAATTGGAACATTAATGCATTGTTGGTGGAGTTGTGAACTGGTCCAGCCATTTTGGAGAGCAATTTGGAACTATGCCCAAAGGGCTATAAAATTGTACATACCCTTTGACCCAACAATACCACTTCTAGGTCTGTATCCCAAAGATCATAAAAATGAGAAAAGGACCCACATGTACAGAAATATTTATAGCAGCTCATTTTGTGGTGGCAAAGAACTGGAAATTGAGGAGATGCCCATCAATTGGGCAATGGCTGAACAAGTTGAGGTATATAAATGTAATGGAATACTGTCGTGCTGTAAGAAATGATGAGCAGGCAGACTTCAGAAAAACCTGGAAAGACTTATGTGAACTAATGCTGAGTGAAGTGAACAGAACCAGGAGAACATTGTACACGGTAACAGCCACACTGTGTGATGACTGACTTTGACAGACTTAGTGCTTCTCAGCCATGCAAGCAAGGAACTAAGATAAAGGACTCACGATGGAAAATGCTATCCACATCCAGAGAAAGAACTATGGAGTCTGAATGCAGATGGAAACATACTATTTGCTCTCCTTTTCTTTTGTTGTTTTGTTTTGTTCTTTCTCGTGGTTCCTCCCATTAGTTCTAATTCTTCTTTACATCATGACTAATGTGAAAATATGCTTAATATGAATGTGTAAGTAGAGCCTATGTCAGATTGAACACTGTCTTGGGGAGGGGGAAAAATTTAAAACTCAAAATCTTATGGAAGTTAATGTTGAAAACTAAAATAAATTTTTTTTTAAAGAAAAAAAAAAGATGAGATTTTAGTTGACACATAAAGAAAGTCAGGGAAGCCGGAGGAGGAGATGAGGAAAAGCATTTCAGGTTTGGAGGAAGCCAGAGAAAATTTCTGGAGCCAAGAGATGTCTTGTTTATGGAACCGCAAGGAGGTCAGTATTATTGGATCAGGGTATGTGGAAGGGTATGAGGACTAAGAAGACTGGAAAAGTAGGAGGTGCCTAGGTTATGAATGCCAAAGGATTTTGTATTTAATCAGTACAAAATCACCTTAGTGGGGAGAGAATTGAGGCAAGCTAACTTAACCAGAAGACTGTTAAAAATAGTCCAGGCTTGACACAATGATGGTTTTGCACCAGAATCATGGCATTTTCAGAGGAAAGAAGAAGGCGTGTGTATTCAAGAGATGTTGCAAAGATGATATGTAGGAGTGAGATAGTGAAGAGTTGAGAATGACTTCTAGATTTCACGCTTGAGAGACTGAGAAGATGGTGGT